AGCGCGAGGGTAATCTCGTAACCAAACGTAACCCAACTGTTTCCAAGATATTGTGGTAATCTCTGCACGAGATAGACATAGTACGTAGATCCTGGTGTATTGGAGACAGTGAAAATGATAGTTGCGAACACCTGTTCCTTGTAACTCCACGGCCCCGGGTTCAGGGGATAGCGGGTGCCAAAGATGGTGATATCCCAAGCTGGCACGACTCGGGCAAGGAACATGCCACAGGGGGCAACCAAGATCTGCATGACCACAGCAGAGATGCTTATGGCCGGCTGGCGAGGTGAGAAAAAGGTGTTGACCGCGGTACATCCGCCCATGAAGAGAAGACCCAGGACATAGGCACGGAGGGTCTCCACAGGTATGGAAGTATCGTCGTTGGGTGTTGTAACGGACCGGACCTCTGGATAAGGGGAGTGGTAATGTATGATAGCCGCCTCGATTCTAAGACGGAGTCCATGGTCCGTCAAGTCTAGAGAATGACAATCGGGCTGCTCGATTAAGAGTTTGAGGTCCCTCAGCCTCTCCGCTGGGAAGTTCGGATCGTCTTTATGATGATCAATGGCTTTGGTGAGGATCTCAATAGCCTGTTGTTCGGTCATGAGAGCAATTTTGTCGAGGATATACTCGTCGTCTCCAGACGCAGTCAGGTCGCCTTGTCCTTCTGACTGACTTGCGTAGAGGGAAGCTATCTTCGATCGCATCTCAGGGGTGATTTGGATGTTGGCATGTAGCATGTAGGTACTTGTCTCCGCACCTTCTTTGAGGTGTACCATCCCAATATCCTCGCCATCTCGTAGGTGGCTATCTTGGGTAGGCTCATTTCCATTATACTTCTTGTTATCATCCATCTTACAAAAGGTTGATGGCGTTATGGGCTACCGTGAATACGGTATGGAAGGTGTATTTTAGGTGTGCCTGTCCTAAATTATGGGTAAATATTAAAGGCAACAGCGGAGATGACTATATAATATATCCAGGAGGTCACGTACTTGCCGAGTCTATAGGCTATCATAGTAACTTTTACACCGCTTATTTTCGAGTATTCATGAGTTCTGCATGCACCAGCCTGTCAGGCTATGAGCTTGCCAGGGCATGAGCTCAGGGGTAAGTTACGTCACAACCACAAATCCTTCATGCAGTATCTCATCCCATCACAGCAATCTGCAATTCAACACACCCATTTGGACTTACCGAAAACTTGAGAAAGGCAAAACAAAGAGCCTCAATATCCTACATATGACTCATACCTCTATACCGCCCCATAACATCCTAGTTTCCCCTTTGCATCGCCTCCACCTATTTCTTACAAGCCAGCGATCTTCTCCACAGATAGGGAGTTGACTGGTAATGCAGCCTTCGTATAAATCACGTAGACCTTCATAGCAGCAGGGATTCCAGGAGGACCAAAAGGGAACACAGCTTGATGCACATGCTCATATAAAGAAAGCTCAGACCCATGCAACCTAGATGCAGTTATAGCTAGCCTTACATGCCGACCCCTTTTGGTCGAGTGTGCGCGTTGATTGGTTACAAACCTATATATCGGTACATTCTATATACACGTGGAAATATCAATAGTGCTATAAGTGCCCATTGCATCCGCCATATTCAGAGTGAAGCCAAGATGAGATGATGCATTTGCACCACAAGGCTACCAGAATAACATCGGCCATTGGACAAGCGACTTCACACTATTGCACACTATATCGAGGTTGATGCTTAGTAGAACCTATAAGCGAGTAAGGTTACAGTCAATTGTGTAGGTAACACGAACCTCGCCCGGGTAGTGAGGGTGCTTGTGCACACGAATGTAGACGGTGAGGACATTCAGTGGCATGCAATAACAATCCCACGCATGCATCCCATCACCCAAGACCAGAATAAACAGGCGAACTGATTCGTTACCTCACCGAAAAGGAGATCTCGTGTTACATGCGTGCACAATAAGGAGCGGTGAGAACAATATGGCTATTGTACAGAATATTCAGGCACCAGATGCCATGAAGATATTACTCTGTCCGGGAACTGCGAGACCCTTGTATATACCAAACATGGACATTGAACCGGATCTCACTCTGATATATTATTCCTCTTCCTGCATTCCCAGTGATGATCTACTATACACCCCCACACTGAAATGCCTATGTTGAAACGCCTGTAGCGTACGCCTCTCTTTCAATGGCGGACCCCTTTTCTTTCGTTGCTGGGGCATTTTCTCTCGTGGATTCCATTGGAAGGCTGGCAGATCAGGTCAGCACGTTGGTACAATCGATTCGAAATGCCCCTACGGAGCTGTCAGATTTCTCCAATGAACTCAATGTGGTCAAAGAAGTCCTGGCCAAAGCTGAGGCGATGTATCTCTCAACAAGACAAGAAAAGCGAGCTACTGGGGCTGATCTTGATGGTCAGTTCATCACTGTCCTTGGCCGGGCAAAGCTATGCTTGAATGAGATCGACCTGTTTATGAAACCACTTTGGACTGTAGATAGTCAAAGTGGGAGGCCTTCATTGAACAGAACCATCTGGGCCCGCCAGAAGAAGAAGATGAACGAACTCCTCAGGAGTCTCGGAAACATTCGAAGAGACCTCCATCTTATCTGGGATATGGATGCCACGTATTTTATCTCGCCCTAATATTCACATATCCTACACAGTCTAACGTGGTTTTAGTTTGACGTCCTTTTCTTACGCGGCCAACATAACGAGAAAGTTAGAAGTCCTCCACGAAGAGACATCCTATCACCACCAGGCATCGCAAAACAACCTCGCTCGAATCCTCGCCCGTGTCTCGGAGCTTCCGAACGCCGGTCAGTGTACCAATATGCTACCTGACATCAAGAATGCAAGTGATATAATCAATCCAAGGGGTCCGGATATGTCATCTTCAACGCAAGAACTCTTCAGTCAAAGGATACCGGGGTCGAACACGTCGATTGCGACTCGGATCCAACTTGAAGTCCGTACCTGCGATCCCAGCGTAGGACCTTGCCAATGCATTTGCCACATACGATCTGCCTGGAGAGTTTCATCCCCTTTCCATACTCTTGGATCATTTTCTGTAAAATTCACTGGTGTGCAGCTCTTGAAGCCGCCATGCGATGTGGGGTCTTGCAAACCTGGCGTACGTAAGTCCATAATGGGCACGTATACGTTTCCATCGTGGTTTCTGAGCCGAGCTATTCATTTCATGGCCAACAACACCTGTGTGACACCATCGTTCGGTCTTTTTGTCCAGACACGGGTGCCTGAGTTTGGACAAAATAATATCCATATTTGCGCGGCGCAAGGTAATATTGAAGTGGTCAAGACCATGTTGATAAAGAGGCAGGGGACGCCTAACGACGCAGAAACAAGCCTCGGCAAGACCGCGTTTCACGTAAGTCTCGTTTGGCTCTACTAGTATGTCCACCATGCTAACAGTTCCAAGACGGCTATCAGAAATGGATTGCCTGAAGTTGCAAAACTGCTTTGGAGCGCAGGCGCAGATGTAGATCTTATAGACAACGAGGGAATGTAAGATATTCGCTCTACCCCTTTTTGTCAGTATTAACTTGAGGACATTAGGACGCCCATCCAAGAAGCAGGCTGGCAAATTCTGACGCGGACGAATAGCCAAGCTCACAGGGATGCGCTGCAATCAATGTTTGATACAACTATGTGGTCCGAGGCGCTGGAGCTGTCGCTTTTGCACAAGGCAGTAGTGAATCTCCTTCCTGGCGTCAACTTGGAAGAATTCATCAGGGTGCACAAGAGCCTGCTAAACGTTCAAGACGCAACTCTTCGCACACCGCTTCACTGGGCCGCCGAGACGGCCGACGAAAATGCGCTCGACGCTCTACTTGTGCACCACGCCGATACATCGATTCGAGATTGCTTTGGCGACACACCGCTGATGAAAGCTGTCAAGAAGGGCTCTATGAACTGCATCAAGAAGTTATTGGTAGCACGGGCAGACCCAACGGTAACCAACAACCTGCGTGAAACGACTTTGCACCTAGCTTCCCGGCACTCGGTGGAGATGATCGATCTGTTACGGTCAATGGGTGTGCCGTTTTCACCGTCGATCCAGAATCTCACGCCTCTAGACTGGGCCGCTATTACGAATAACGTCGAGGTCGGGAGGCACTTGATCAGTCTTGGCGTCGATGTGAATTTCCCGGACGGGAGGGGACATACTACCATCTTCCACGCCACTATCTGCTGGGGCCAGGAATTCGCTCGCATGTTGCTAGGCCTGCCGCAGTTGGATCTTTCGGTGCTCAATCACGATGGCGAAACAGTGCTGCACGTGCTTGCTAGGCACGGCGATATACGCGGGGCTTGCGCGTTCCTTGATGCTGAGATACATGGCTTGGATCCAGACGTCGTCAGCTCTAAAGGCGAAACGGCGTCAGAAGTCTTCGAGGTGCGACTGATGCCCCCGGTGGGGTTTGATGCTATTTTCCAGAGGCTCGTCGTAAAGCTGCGCGATAACTTTCACTCTAGGAGTATCATGGAGGATATATTTTTTTATACTAAAGAGAAGTAAGTTCCCTATGCCTCCTCGCGGGGGGGTTCTTTTCTTTTCTTTTCTTTTCTTTCTTTCTTTTTCTTTCCTGATCTCGCCTGCAAGTACCAAATATGAGGCATCGTTAATTAGGTACATGGACAGCCATATGATTTACATGATGAAGTATGTATCGAGCTATGTCCAAGCTGGTATGGCCCCGGATATAAGGATTGTCTTATCACCACGTGATACTCCTCTAAACCCCCCTATCACGTACGCCGTAATACAGCAGCACGCCGCAACACATGATTGATGTACACTGGTCTGACTGGTGTACGCCAGGGTGGAAGTGGTGGAGTTGGTTAAACCCTTGGTATCATATTGAGTTTAGAGATATAAAGAGTTGTGCTGATCGGTTGGTGACAATAGTGGCTGGTATGGCTGGGGCGAGGATGCACCAAACGTCAGACATATAGTCCGCCCTAAGAATCAAATTAATAACGATTGCCGATTGGCCCAGTGGTAAAGGCGTCCGACTGTTACTTTCTCTTCAACTTTAGAAGTACATCGGAAGATCGTGAGTTCGACCCTCACATTGGCAGCGAAATTTCTTTTTGTGGGATATGCAGAGTTTTTTTGTGCCACCTTGAACTTGTATTCCAGCTAAGCTAACACTATACCTGAACTAACTACAGTAAAACCTGGCTATAACGAATACGTTCTATAGCGAATTCTCTCTATAGCGAATTCAAACCGGGAACACACTGTTTTTCCCATACAATTAACGAATTTTCTCCGTACTACGAA